CACCTTACCTTCTCCTGGGAGGTGAAAGCTTTAGGTTGCTTCAGAGATGTAAGAATAGATGGCTTACTAGCTAAGCTAAGCTTTGAGCCCAGCTGTCTCTCCCTCAGAAAAGGAACATCAGAGGTTAGATGAAGACAGGTTTGTCCCCTAAACTGTCACTTTAATCAAAGGGGCACTATCTAAATTAGGTTTATAAGGAGACAAACTCAGTCTTCTTACTGAGTGGCCCATACTTGTGCCCCAATCTACATGCTTGGGGTCTTAGGTTATAAATACACTGGGGAAACAACAGTAAACCTCAAACGATATGGAACACCTCGGCCTCATTAGTTGAAAACAGCTCAATCCTGGATTAAGTGCAAGTGTACTAGTGAATAACCCATGCAAGAGGGTGTAGATCCCCATGCTTTCGCTTTATTAAGCCAACTAAGAGCGTAGTGAGTCCTCTAGTGTACTGAGCAAGAGTAGGCCCTGGCCTGGGGAAAGACACTTGGTACCCAAAGGAGGGTAGGTTTTTTTCTTTTCCTTCCTTCTTTTCTTCCTTCCTTCCTTTTTCTCTTCTCTTCTCTTCTCTTCTCTTCTCTTCTCTTCTCTTCTCTTCTCCTCTCTTCTCTGTTCCTCTCTCTCTCTCTCTCTCTCTCTCTCTCTCTTTCTCTCTCTCTTTGTTTTGTTTGTTTGTTTTCAAGAGAGTTCGAGAGAGGGTTTCTCTGTAGCTTTGGAGCCTATCCTGGAACTCTCTATATAGACCAAGCTGGCCCCTAACTCACAGAGATCCACCTGCCTCTGCCTCTCGAGTGCTGGGATTAAAGGCGTGTGTCACCACCACCCCGCTGAGGGTAGGGTTTTTAAAGTCAAAAGGCTGTAATCACATCATACCTGGTGTAGGCTGTGGGTCTTTACCCATATGTCACCTTTGATCTTGTCAACCATCACACAAGGCATCCATCTAGAGCACCAGTTCTCTACCGGGGGTGGGGGGGAGGCGAGACCCTTTGGGGGTTAAATGACCCTTTCACAGGTGTCGCCTAAGACCCTCAGAAAACACAGATATTTATATTGCGATTCATAACAATAGGAAAATTACAGTTTTGACATGGCATCAAAAATATGGTTGGGGGAGGGTCACCAAACCATGAGGAACTCTGTTAAAGGGTTGCAGCATTAGGAAGGTTGAGGCGTCAAACTGTTTTTACATGCCAGGACTCTTTCTCAGCATAGATGGAGAGAGAAGCACTCTTCCATTGACAGGCAAGTGTGGCTTCCTAGTGAGGGAGGTGAGAAATCAGGTGAACCTGACCTTTCTTCAGCTAGTCACTAATAGATGTATGCCCCCATAGAACCGATCTCTGGACTCGTGCAAGAAGCGATGCTGGACTCATGGTCCCGGTTCCAATTCTGATATAGGTGTTGGGGGTCAGGAATCCCTGACCATTAGGTCTCCCATCCACGGCAATAAGGTAATAGCATCTCTGTCGGGGGTTCCTGCAGCAATACATGAGATCATGGAAGAGGAGCCTAGCAAAACACCTGGGGAAAGAGCTTTACTCTTTCTTTCCCATCTTAAATCCCTTTTTAGTCACCCTACCACTGGAATCTCGCTGCGCTTTAGAGAAGTCTGACTGAGATGAAGATGTCTTATATACAGGGTCCTTTTAGCGGCTACCAGAGAAACAGCTTCAAATTTTAGCTCTAGACAAAGAAGAATTCCTGTGTTTGAAAATGTCTCCTGCCCACCATCTTCCCTGGGACTAGACTCATGACTTCCTTGCCAAGGTGACCCTCTCCCAGGTTGCCAAGGTGACCCTCTCCCAGGTTGCCAAGGTGACCCTCTCCCAGGTTGCCAAGGTGACCCTCTCGCAGGTTTTTCCTTCCAGGTATGTATGCCTGATGCTCTCACACCTGACTTTGAGCTATACACAAAGTTGAAGGTATACACACATCTCTCCCCGCTTCCAAGTTGACTGACCTAGTCACCCAAAATGCATCACAAAATGATTGGCAGGTACCCCACCATGGAAAGCCTGGCACCTGGTTCTCAGTAACAAAAGGAGTGTCACTTTGCCTGTCCAGAGGAGGGTAGCACCCCAGCTGAGCCTATCAGAAGAAGACCAGGTCCTGCCTCATGAGTATTAGAAGCTTACTTTTCTAGAGCCAAGGACAAGGTTGAGAATTAAACACAGCCACCGCTAGTTTGGGCTCTTAAACTAAGACCTTAAGATGAAAATATTTGGCCTTCCCACCTGTGACTGTACCCAGGACTGGCACAAGGGGCAGGTGTTCGGTCCCTGGGGACTTGGCATCACCCATCCCAACTGTTACAGAAAAGCTAGGCCTCACAGCTGCTCTTGTTTAGGAGCTTCTTGCCTCTCAGATGACCCCTAGGCACCTGATCACACCCAAATTAAGCTGAGTTTGGCTAAGACTCCACTCCAGGAGTTTATCATTGACTTGGTAAGAAGGCGCAGGCCACTAACCCCAGAAAAACAACCTTTAGTTGCCATCTGACACCCTTCTCTGTCCCCACCCCCTGCCCTCACTCTTCCAAAGAACCAGAGAAACAGAATACCTTTATCTCCACAAGGAAATAAAAGGGTTTCTTACTGGGAAATTCCCCCACGGAAAAGAAATAACCAAGATAAACAAGTTTATTGCCTTTGGCTCAGCTAGTGAAGGAAGTCTCTGAGAAGGGGAGTTAGGAACAAGCAGGGAGAAGAGATATTGCCAGGCTGCCTCCTGCTTACAGCTTTCTTATCTTTATGGGCACTCATTATTGCGTAGGGCCTATTATCATTGTTTTTCTCCTTATAAAGCTCCTTCAAATCCATTCCAAAGTTTATAGCCAAACAAAGTCCTCAAATTCTGTTGGAAAGTGGGGACTCTCTTCTCCTTTCTCCTCTCTTCCTCTTGGCCCTAGAGTTTATGGTATCATTTGGGTCCTTGAGATAGTTCAGCCTAGCATGGCCCAAGCCTCAGTCCTCTGTAGGTCTGGACTATGCAGAAGTCCACATGGTGGCTTGCATTCTCGCTCTTTGTCTGCCGGAACTCACCAGGTAGGAAACACGATAACATCTATATTTTTGTCTCCGACCCTGGAGTGGAGCTGTAGGAAACCTTGGGCACAGCTGATCATCTCCAGCTCGCTCTCGGCTGCTGCTGCTGTGTCTGCCTTTCTGTCTTATTTCAAGGCTACTTGTACAACTCCAATGAATACTGCCAGGTCCAAAGGAAACTCCAGTTCCTCAAACTGCAAGAAGCAGTCCAAATGTCTAGGAATGAACTCAAACTGGACTCTAGACGGATTTCTGGTGGTTGAATAAAAGCCAGCGAGCGTTCCTTAGGAGTTTGTGAAGCTGGTTCCCCTCTATCTCTCTGGCAGAAGGGATATATGGTTACCTGTGGTGCCTATTAGCATGTCTTAGTATATGCTGGTCTCCAGGCTCCCTCAGTATCACAAGTACCTTTTACACATTCCAAAGTCCATGTTAGCTAGCCCTTGTCCTTCTCACTTCCTCCCCTACCCTAAACTCCCTCCAGCTCACAGGCGTCCTTCCCCCAGCGACTCTTTCTCCTTAGAACCCTGCTATTCTTACTATGGTTTTAATTTTCTATCTTTCTGCAGCTCTCTGCTCCCGCTTCTCTCCTCATGATGTTTTGTTCTCCCTCCGCTGCTATTCCCTCCTCTCTCATAGATAGGCCTGACCATGTCCAGACCGCTGGCCGTGTCCGGTCTATTCTTTTCTTTTTCTGATCTAGATTTTTCCAGATGCCTCTATCTGCAAACCCCCACCCCCAATTATCACTTCATATCTACAATAAAAAAATCTTCTTATTAGTCAGGCAATGGTGGTGCATGCCTTTAATCCCAGCACTTGGGAGGCAGAAGCTTGACAGATCTCTGTGAGTTTGAGGCCAGCCTGGTCTACAGAGTGAGTTCCAGGATAGCCAGGGTTACACAGAGAAACCCTGTGACTCAAACAAACAAACAATTAAAACAAAAATCAAACAAACAAATAAAAACACCTTCTTCTTAGCCATACCACGGAGTGGTCATGTTGTCCGTTTATACAAATGATAGCAAAGACAGTCGTTGACAAACAAAAGGCATTCTAGCATCCAGTGTAAGCATACTATCATTGGGGAGGTTGAGAGCATAAACAAGTCAGGGTTCAGATCCCCAGCTCACTCTGTCCATCCCACAGTTAACCCTTGTGGGGCATGCAGGAGCCTTTGTCTGCCTTTCCAAACACCAGAATCGCTAGTCTGCCTCTTCCTGTCAGTTTACTGATCACCCACCCACAGCATGTCAGCCTCCTCCACTCTCGGGAATATAGGGAAGGTAACTGACGTGGAGAGAAAGGGCCATGTTATGGTGTGCCCAACGCTGTGTTCTAAATGATGACAAAGAAATGTCATCAATGTCGTAGAGACAGGGCCATGCTGTGTGCCCAATGCTGTGTCCTGGAAGATGACTAAGAAATGGCATCAATATCGCTATCCCAAAGAAACACGAAGTTTAGGTAGGAAGACAAAGGTACTTATGACTGTTGAAGAGGAATTAAGAGCCAATCGTTTGTCCAAGACTGTCTTTTGATATTTTTTTGTATAAACTGACAATGTGGCTGCTCCATGGGTTGGTTAAGAGAAAGGTTTTTATTGTAGATACGAGAGAGAGAGAGAGAGAGAGAGAGAGAGAGAGAGAGAGAGAGNGAGAGAGGGAGGGAGGGAGGGAGGGAGGGAGGGAGGGAGGGAGGGAGAGAGAGAGAAGGTGCACAGACGGGGACGGGAACCTGGAAGTTCTTCGCAATGAGGAAACACCATTCATTAATTCAACAGAATTTGCAATGGTTTCTGCAGACGGGAAGCAGCCAGGTGCTCACTTGGTTGTTCTCTTTCAGCATCTCGCAGAAGTCGACCTGAATGGCACAGCCCCCCTGGAAGCCACCAGCAATGAAGCTCTTTGTGTTCGCCATCCTGCTCGCTGTCCTCCCAGGTGGGTCTGTTGTCCCAGCTCCCCGGATCACACTCTTTTCCCCTAGACTCCTTGTTCCTAGGATCCAGCTCCATGGAGACCCTGACATCAGAGTCATCCCCAGCGATGTCCCTCATAGGGTGTATATCCCTATGAGACACAGTCACACTCAGCAATGCAGAAAAGACATGTCTAAAAATGGGTTTTGATAGCACTGGAAATCAAAGACAGGGATGAGAATTCCCGATTTTAAGACAAGGAATCTGATAGAGTCCTCTCTGGAGACTAAAAAATAAAGACAAGAAAGACTTTGAACTCCAAACCAAACATCTTTTCTGAATTGTATGATTTGGGGGAAATCAACTAAATTAACTAATTTTCCTGGCCCTTAATTTTTTAGTATAAAAAAAGAAGGAAATAATCTACCAAGGGAAATTATATAGTAAATGCAAAAACACAATATCCTGACAAGTAGTGTAAGATGCATTAGTTTGTCATTCACCGTCCTTAAAAAAAGATTTTTGTTAATGGAGTTACCGTAGTGGAATTCAAGACCACCAGGAAAGACTAAAGACTCAATTTAGACTATAATTAGCCAAATTTATTGTTTCTGCTGGCAGGGCAGCTATCTCTAAGCAAATCAGAAATGGGCTGCACCTGAGCAGATGGGGGAACGAATTTTAAAGGCCAGGCCACAATTACTCCATTTCTGCAGAATCTACAACTGCGTAAAGATTGCCCCTCCCCCCCACCCCGCCCCCGACATGAAGAACTGTTGCCCTACCCTCCCCCACAGCTACATGAGAAACTGCCATTCCCCATGCCCACAGTGATAAGTGTGTTTACAGAAGCCAGAACAAGCTGTTAATCATTGCACAACAGTTACACAGCTTATGGGAGGGGACAAGGGGTCAGAGCTTTTAGGAATTTAGGTCAGAGGCCAAGAGCTACAAAAGTAGGTTCCTGGTACAAAATGAAATTTTCTTAGCCACCATATTCCCCACTGGCTTTAGATTATGGAATCAAACCATTGACCCTTGCTGAATCAATTTTTTTAATAGAGTTGGTTATTTAATGTATGTTAGCAACCGATTTAAAGTTCAAAGGTTGATCATAACTCCAAGGAGCGGTAAAAGGTTCAGCTAAGGCGGTCAAGGGTGGTAAGCCATGGGAAGAGAAAATGGATGAATACCGATTAGAGGCCTCATCATGTTCTGCTCTTGCATCTAGGTTTTTCTGGATCATGTTTAATGTTTCTGAGATAACTCCCTAATTGTTGACATCAAATCAGCACTTTTCACATCTGACAGCATGAATCTCATCCCCGACAGTTTTCTAAAAACCATTTCTGCTAGGGAATCTACTTGTTTTTCAAGTTGTCCTACAGCATCATCGAGATGTTGTACGCCCTGGTCTACTCTATTATTCAGAGCTTTGAAAGTCTGATCTTGAGGAATTAAAGCTGCCGTTTCCCAAGGCACCTATGTATGTGATCCCTTCTGTCACTAGGAGGGGTATAACTGTAGCCGAGTTACTATTCTTTTTCTTCTAACTAGACCCTGGCCCTCATGGCGGGAGTATCCTTCATCCGCAAGCAATTGTTTTCTACTCTCCTCTCTAGTCAACACACCTTCCTTGGGAAGGATATAGGTTAGATAGAATACAGAGATTCCCTTCCCATGTCCCGAATTCTGGATGTTCCTCTGTTACACATCTAGCGAGGCCAAATGTGCAGGCCCACCATGTCCCGAAAGGAGCCAGAAAGTGCATTCTCATATATTCAGACTTCATTGGTGTACACGTGAATACTAACTACAGGATTGACCATAAAGGGAAGCTGAGTCGCTATAAATTGAAGAGATTAAACAATTTGGAGGCTCCTTGGAGGTCTCCTAGAGAGCACTTACTTCCTCTGGATCGCAGTTTAAATTCTCAGATCGGGTAGTAGTCTAGACAATAGAGAGATTGACCCCTGTCCCCACATAAAAAGGAGACCTGGAGTCAAGGCAAGGCCAATATGCATTTCCCAGGTTAGAGAGGGTTTGATTTAATCAAGCTGTGTAGTAACCTTACGGTCTCAAGCTCGGGGTTACCTTTGGGAGATGAAGTTGTTTTGTGTATTTGTGTATCCTGGCTTAGGTTGAGTCTATTACCATATACCCCTCCTGGTTGAGACCGAAGGCTGGTTTATTTCCATGGGTGGAGTGGTTCAAGGGGACAGGAAGATGGGAAGAGGACACCCCCTAGTCTTTGGTTAAGGCATCTAGCTTTTACCTGGGCCTATAGGGCTGACTTGGGGGGTGTTAACCCTAACCCTTTCCCATAGAGAGAACATCACAGCCCACTGAAAACTGAAACTCTTGATGTCAAGCTAGAAATCCCCGGATGGACTCTTAAGCCAGGGCTGGGTGCTCAGTTCTTTCCAGGTCATGGCTTTCCCACCAGAGGAGCTTTACTTCCTATGGGTGAACCCTCAGGGAGGGATTTCTCACTCAAAAAGGATTACAGGTCTAAGTGCCTAATACCCTTTCTCGGGCAAACTCAGCCTCACAGTTTGGATCAGTACAATGATAATCTCCTTTTTGCTGATGGCAGTGTGTTGGCCCATCAGCTGGACATATATGGAAAAGGGTTTCATATATTATATTTTTATCACATCCTGGAATGACCATGATGTTGCCTTCAACATACAGCATCTTAGGAGTGAGTAGTCCTGATGCTTTTTATCAGACTGGACAGATAGTCCGCAAACAGGTCACAGAGATCAACTCTAAACACAGGCTGGGAGGCAGCATTTTGTAGAACATATATTATTTTTCTTCAGTCTGACCATGGGTTTATTTTGCATGGTTCTCATGACAACTCCCAGTCCCAAACCTTAACATTTTCAGTAGGTCAAGCATAGAAGATATTTGTCACGATCCCCAGCATTAGTGTCAGTCTGATTCCGAGATGCTCATGAACCGCACCTTAAGGGGGACCTAGTGATCTCCCCTTAACTCTCTGCTTGTCGGCTTCGTTTGGCTAGTCATGTTCACCTTAAAGTAGGAGTGATGGCTCCAAACCTCAGTCCCTGCTACCTTGATGACCATGGGTGTTGTCAAGATCACTGGGTACAGCCCTTTCCAGGAAAGTTCCAGGGTTCTGCTGGGTAAGCGGTGAATCCGCACCAAGTGCCCAAGTTGGAACCTGTGCTTCTGTTCAGTCAAAAGCAGCGTCGGCCGTGAGGGTGATAGACGACTCTGGGTTCTCAGGTGCTTTGCAGCAATGCCTGTTAGGACTGAGGAAGGAATCATTAGATATTTCAATGGCCGGTAACCTTCCCTTTGCAGGAATAAGCTGAGGCTGCCGTCAAACATTATTTTAAATGGTGTAGCTTGTCCCGGTAGGGGGCGCACCTGATCCTAAAAAGAACGGCTGGAAGCAGCTCTAGTCACCAGCTTCTTGCCAGTTTCTGCCCAGAACTTAATCACTAATTCTGTACTAGTCCCATTAGCTCTTTCTCCCTGTCCTGAGCTCTGGGACCTGGAGTGGCAACATAATCTCCAGTGTATCCCTAGTGTTTTAACTGCTTGCTGAAAGACTTTGGCCGCGAAGACCCGCCCATTGGCAGACCCCAAGAGGAAAGGAGGTTTCGTGAGAGAAGGGATGAACCCCAAGGCTTCTGGTAGGACAGGACATCTGTCTGGAAGTATCCACCAGGCCTCTGTCTCAGTTGGCCCCTACTGTCTGGCCCAGTTTTCTTCCTCGCAGGTGTATGCACATGGGGGGGGGGGTGCGAATGGCTGCGATGGCCCCGCTGACTTTGTGGCTCTTGTTCTTGCTGTGACATTAGCAAATCTGTTGCCTCAGGTTTCTACCAAATCCCGTTTGGTGTTCCGGGCAATGGATAACAGCAAGCTTCTCTGACAGCCAAGAAGCTTCTAGGAGAGCAGAGATCTCCCCCCTGGATTTTGATCTTCTTCTCTGTAGAGGTCAGCAGGCCATGTTCCTGGACAAGGCACCGTGGACGTGTGCCGTGGCAAAGGCGTATCAGCTTTCGGCACAGATATCGACAGCTCGGCTATTTCCCCATCTTAGTGCCTGAGTCAAGGCTATCCATTCTGCCTTTTGGGCTGATGACCTTTGGGGCAGAGATTGTGCCCAGATAGTGACGCTTTTGGGAGTGTCACTAAAGCCCCTCCTGCTCGCCTGAACCTGTCTTGTACATAGCTGCTCCCATTGGTGAATAAGGTCACATCTGCCTTCCCAAGGGGCTGGTCTCGGGGATCTAGTTGTCCACACAGCAGGTGGTCAGTGACCTGGGCACAGGCAAGGACCGGCTGTTCTTCAGGGTCCAGCAGGAGGGATTCTGGGTTTAGCACAGCAGACGTGAGAATTTGAGGCTGGGTGCATTTTTGGAGTGCCTGCTAAGAAGTGAGGTGTATGTTTGACATCCTGTGTCAGACGCTCCTAGAAGGAGCATCTCGATGGAGTGGGGACATCCAACCCCTTCCTGTCCCGTGGTTAGTGCATCAATTTCCTTTAACAATAGCACTGAGGCAGCAGTGGCCCAGATGCCAGCTGGCTATCCCGCAGTCACAGGGTCTAGGCATTCAGACCAACAGGCCGTCTCTAGGTCCCCAAGGGTTGAGTCACTACTCCTTTTGCCACCCCATGTCACCCACCCACAAGTGGAAGGGGTTGTCAGTGTCAGATAGTCTGAGTGTAGGGGCTGACACCAGTCTTCCTTCAGTGTTTTCTTTGCCCTCCCAGCTCACAGGGCTGCTTCCTCCTAGGCTCTAACATAACCATTGTGCTATTTCAGCAAAGTTGGGTGTCCCCAGTGTTAGGAATATTTCCTAATACGAGCTCCCTGACGACGCAAAAATTCCAAATCAAGCTAAATCAAAACAAGCCAAATTAATAAATATCCAGGTTTAATGGGAGATCTGTGCTCTCGGGTGGCCCCGAGGGGGAAACCGGGAAGCCACAGGAATGCGACCCCCGGGAGGAAGAAAAGGAAACCACCTGTTTTTCTTTTGGGGGATCACTTAAGTACCCCATCCCCAGGGAGGGGTCAGGACCTGGCCTGCTGGGATTTGAAGTGCAGACCAGGCCTGGGGGCTGGGATAGATGCGAGGGACTGGGACCTAAGCTCCCAACCTAACACCCAGTCTGCAGTATCCAACTGTACCCAGGAATTCTCTCACTTGCCTCTTGTTCTGTGGCTCTGAGATATTCAGGATAGTTTGGATCCTAGTGGAAGATAGGGTTCTCCTGTTGCTGCCCCCAAAGCAATGCGTTACCCAGATAAATTACTTTATGGGAGCACAATTGGGCCTTTTTGCAGACACGTAGTAGCCCAGCAGCTGAAGCGTTTTGAGATGTCCCTCTGCGACTTTTTGGTACTCCTCCAGGGTATGTGCTTCAGTGACCTCATCTGCATACTGCAAGAGGCTAGGGCATTCAGGTGTCCTTGCAGGTGCCCAAACAAGTCCACGTTAAGAGCTTCATCAAAGATCAGTGGAGTTCTTAAACCCCTGTGGATAGTCTAGTCCAGGGCAACTGGACTCAAAGGCAAATGTAGGTGGCTCACAGGTGCCCAAAGCAGATAAAAAAGACACCCTTCAGTTCTAAGACAGTGTGCACAGTTCATCCTTGAGGCAACAGACTGAGCAAAGTGTATAGATTGGGTGTCCTCTGGGGATGATTTCCAGTCTCCCTTTAAGATCTAAACAGAATGACAGTCTTTGATGCCTGCCTTAATGACAGAGCAGGGTTCTGAAGCGTGTTTCAGGGAAATCCCTGCATCTCTAAGGTAATTGATATGCTTTCTGATGCCTGCCTTAGCGTCTCTCAAAGTAGGGTACTGCTTTTACTTATAGGCAAGGCTGAGCTCAAGAGCAGAGAAGCAGCTCATGGCCAGTGTGAGGCCAGTCCAGGGCAACAGGTTTCCGCCCACACTCCAGGGAAATATTAGCATCCATCAATCCCATTAGGAGTATCTCCCCTCTTCCCAGATCCTCATTACTCTTTTCTGTCGTTTTATATCCTTCTGATAATGAGCAAGTCACCAGGATTACTGTGTATGGACTCCTGAGGTCCAAAGTGGCTTTATTCTCATTGACCATGATGGTACCAACTTTGCTCGACAAGTCTCTACCAATCAGGAGGTGCAGAAAATCTGGCTTACCAAGGAGAGAATGAGTCTCAGTACCTTGCCCAAGGTCCACTTCTCGGGTGGTGGCTCAAATGTAGGTGCTAGTCCCTGTGGTCCCTTGGATGGTGGTTCCTTCTCAGTGGAGGGGTGGGGTAGGGGTTGGTATCCACTAGGAACCAGAGAGCTCTGCCCCATGCTTTTCCTGTGATCATGGGTTCCTGGGGGCTCAATGGTATGGAGTCCTAACCCCATCAATCTCATCCTGTTATATTGGGGATTTGCCCCCTCTTCTCTGTCTGCAATGAGGACATTCATCTTTTCCCCAATGTCTCTTTTCTCTACAATTGCACATTGGTCCTTCTCTAACATGGATCAAAGCTGATTTGGCCACCTGGGGTGCTTTTGGTTTTTATCAGTGTCTTCTCTTCCATGACCATATTATTATCTGGCCAGTCTTCTGTTTTTCTTCTCATCTGGATCTCTATTGTTAAGTTTTCTGAGCTATTCCTAACCACTGTGACCTATTCATTCCTTCAAACCTTCTAATTTCTGTAACTCCCTATGAATATTAGGGGGTGGTTGATGACAAGCGCAATATTACTAACCTGCTGGTTTTCTAGGGCATCTGGATCTATGGAGGTAAATTCCCAGTAAGCCTCTCAAAGGTGCTCCAAGAACTGGGAGATTCATAATTTTCCCCAATTACCCCAGATACCTTTGAGAGATAAGTTGGGGCTCCTACTCTCGTTACATTCACTAAGGCCTGGCAATAGGTGTCTAGTGCTGCCTTGACATTGGTCAATGTTGGGATCCCAGTTTGGCAACATTGAGGGCAATATTCACTCAACCTTTTCTTCGGCATTTGCCCTGGTTACTATGGACCAATCACAGCCTTCCTAGCCACAGTCATGATTATATCCCTCTCCTTAATAGTAAAAAGGATACCTTGAAGCTGCCTGCAATCATCCCAGATGGGCTGGTGGGTAAAGAAAAGAGTTTCCAACAGGCCAATGAGGGGCTGAGGCATCTCAGAGAAGGGAGGGTTCTAAGTCCTCCTGTTAGACAGGTGACTGGTCAAGAGAGGAACAAAAACTAGAGGAGGTCTGGGTCTCTCCTCCCCAAATCTCTTTGTGCCAGTGGGGGCTGGAACCCACTAGGGGGTGCCTTCCTAAGAGGGAATGCAGCTGGGGTCTTGTTTAGCTGATGTGGAGACTAACTCAGCCCACCCAAAGTGTGTGAAGGGAATGGCAGGTCCAAATAGATCATTGAGACAGTGTGTGCCTGGCCCTCTCAGATACAGTCGGATCCTGAACTGGCTGGATGCATGGGGAAGATTCTCCTCCTTCACACAGGGCAGTTCAGAGAGTCCAGGCATTTTACTTAGGTTTCTACACAGCCTTTGATTTATTGACTTGGAAACTAAAACAGAAGAACTTTGTTTAAGGGCACAACATTCCAGCCATAGAAGGGGTTTGAGAAGGAGGAGGAAGAACCAGCAATCAATATAAGAAAACTGGTCTGGTGAGGGAGGGGGACTTGATTGGGGGAGGGGGAGGGAAATGGGAGGCGGTGGTGGGGAAGAGACAGAAATCTTTAATAAATAATAATAAAAAGAAAGAAAACTGGTCTGGGTGGCTAGGGTTCTCTCTAGGAAATTAGGGGCTTGACAGACCCTACCTTTGGCCACCCCACATGCAAAGATGGGCATTCAAGTTCACACATTATGCAGAGCTCTTGAGATGACATCTTAACTCCATATCTGCCTCATGGACCTCCTAGAAGTACTGCGCATGCAGCTCAGGGGAGACTTGGCTGTGTGCTCTCAACTTCTCCTTTCTGTAACAAAACTCATAAGCACGCCAGAAAACACAAATTCATCAAATGCAAACAATGTAAAAAGACAAAACATCCACATAGTCAGAGGAGTCAGACACAGACGTATGCTGGTCACCTTCATTCATACGCCAAAGCCCCAAGGATACAGGAGGACATCTCCTCTTCCCCTGGAAGAGTCTACAATCACATTAACTCTCCTCCTCTATGTCTCCCAAGATGTCAAGACTTCCCAGAACAGTTCACTGATCAATACTGTCTTGAGTACACACTACCCATTAACCCTCACTTTTATTTCAATTTGC